TACTATTTTTGGAAACTCTTTTTAAGTCTACAATTATTGACACATTATACTTTTACACAGGTTGACATTTTCTCGTAAGTCTGTCTAATGAGGAGACTAAAGAATTTCCACAAAAGCAAAATATAGCCAATCATCTTAAAACTCAATTAATTCATTATAAATTATAAAATTAGGCACAACTAAAGAAAGAATTAGTTATATGGAAGGCAAATACAAAAATTAACCAGAAAGTAATTTAGAGAGATAAAGAGATGGATGCTATAAAAGCAAGATTAAGAGGTATGGAGCAGAAAATCAAGACAATCCATCATACATTCAACAAGGGTTCCAAAGGAGACTTAAAAAAATGAAGGAAAAGTAAGAAATAATGGATAATAATTTTCTAGAATTAACAATTAACAATAAGAATTAACTTCTAGAAACATGAATTATAAGCAGGGTAAATTAAAATATAACCACTTCTAGACACAGAGGTATATTTTGAAATATATCAAAAGTTAAGGGACGCTTTTAAACAACCAGGAAAAAAATACTTTACGAGGCAACAATAATTAGAAAACAGATTTATTAAAGTGACAAAGTCATAATACCTTCAAAGGACTTAGTAAAAATAAGTCTCACCTATAATTCTACAATCAATTATCATTTCAAAAATGAGGGCAAAATAAATACATTTTCAGATAAAACCAAAGGTTTATTGTTAGCAGAACTTTGCTCAAAGAAATATTAAAGAATATGCTTCAAGCAGAAGGCAGCAAAAAGTAATGGCAAAATAAGAAACTGATACAGTGAATAAAATTAAAAAACAGAATTTATAATAGTCTCCTTGAAATAAAGCTACCATGTTGCATTTTTAAGAATAATTCATTTGTAAAACAAAACAACAATAAAACATAGCTTCAGCAAGATACTTTTAACGAACAACACCCACCAACCACACATAGACTTAGAAAATCTCAACTAAGAATCTGGCTTTCTCTTATCTTATCTTGGCCAAAGGCTTTGGTTTCCTCACCCAAAAGTAACAGCATTTAGCTAGAAGTTGTGTAACATTCCCAACCAGCTCTAGATTTTATGGATAGAAAGTAGGGTTCCCAAACTACCAAGACATCTTTCAGAACAGAACAAGGTGTGACATAAAACAAGCTCCAACAAGTATATTTTTATAAAATATAATGTTAATAACTTCTGTTAAAAAAAACTTTTAATTATGTTTTAAATAAACTACTGTAATCAAAACCATATAGATTTAGAATTCATAAGCGCCCATGCTAAAATTTACACTGACTTAGAGAAAGCTTTCTCCCCTAACAATGAAAACGAACAGGATTATAAAAGAAAATATAAAGTCCAGTCACTCGAAAAATATTTACTGAACACCTACTATGTGGCAGGAACTATTGCTGTCATCTGGGATATACCAGTATAGAAAATACTTTTAAACATACTCAAGATATGACAATTGTATGTGTAAAATTGATAGGGACATTACAAACCACTCTTTTTCCATTAAGTTAAGTCTGCAAGGGTTTTAAAGGAGAAGTGCTAGTGTTGTTAATACAATAATAAAAATGTATTTTTAAAACATACAGCTGACCCTTGAATAATACAGGTTTGAACTGCACAGGTCCACTTACACAAGGAAATTTTTCAATAACTGTAAATATATTTTTTATCACGTATGATTTTCTCAATAACACTTTCTTTTCTCTAGCTTACTTTATTGTAAGATTAAATAACAAACAAACATGTTAAATGATTGTTTTCATTATCAGTAAGGCTTCCCGTAAACAGCAGGCTATCAGTAGTTAAGTTATGGGAGGAGTCAAAAATTCTGTGTGTATATTTGACTGCACAGGGGGTTGGAGTCCCTAACCCCTGTGTTTTTCAAGAGTCACCTGTATATTATCCAAAGCTGTTCAGTAGGAATTCACTTCTGACTGAATCATTAAAGTTTAACTCTTTAAAAAATATCCAAAATGACTTAGAATATGAACAAATCCTTTTAAAAAATTCAAAACCTTAGGACTGCTTTATTTGTATTCCAAACAGCAGATCCTCAACATCACTAAGATTAGTACAGTCATTATGGAACAGATTAAGGAACTCCATTATCAGGAGCAGTCAGGAATAAAGTAAGGATACTGCTTTCTGTAACTTTAGTTGTTAATTTCTGGAACAACTGCTATACACATTTTCCTGTTCCTTATTCTGAACTGTACACTGCCAGTCACTGAAAAGAAAAAAAAAAAACTCAGACTAATAGAGGCCAAACTTAGAGAAGGAAATAAAAATCATCCTTCAGTCTAGGCTAAATGGACTGATTATACAAAGAACTCCATACATCCGAAAGCACACAGATGTCTGCACTAGTTCCCAGGGCTCAAACAATACTAGTCATTCAATAGCTTTCCTTTTACATAAGCTGATCTGAGAGCAAGCTCAGTCAGCTCTTCTGAACCTCATAACCCAGGATCCTGGAACTCTAATAAAGCCTACATTTTTCCTCAGCACTGTTTTCATGTACTTTCTCTGGAAAGAAAACTACACTTTTCCCAAAAAATAAATGTGGATATCATTTCTTCTGTTTGATAAGTGATGTACTCAATATAAAATTACTTTTCTGTTAAAATCACAACCCTTAACACAAATCTAAGATCAACATGAAAGACGGACTGACAGAATATGTACTTAAATGTGTGAGTTTAAAATAGAATTTTAAATACATCCTATCATGGTAATTATCAAATGTATACCATTTGGCTGCATTGTTTTTTTCCACTTGCATAATTTTAAAAATAGCCATATGACACAAAACCACCCCTCCCCCCCAAAAAAATTTTTTTTAATTAGGAGGACTGTTCAGAGGGGGTAAATTTACACACACAAATGCAACACTAACCATAAACATCAAAAATACAGTTATTCTTCATTGAACATCCCTTAGAAGCTTAAATAATACTACTTTCTACCTTCGAAGCACATTATTGTTGATTCTTCTAGTTCCTTCACCAGTTGAGTCTTCCATGAATTCCTGCCTTCAATTCTGGGAAGTATCATGGATAAAGCCGCAGAAACTCTAATGTGCTTTTTAATCAAATGGCAAACCTTCTAAGACACTTATCAGACCAGCATTCCTGAAGTAAAGCTCATTAGCTTTACTACTAAGTGATAATGATTCATTTACTAATTAAACTACTAAACCATGAATAGCCAAGAGTTGCCTATAAATTCCTCTGAATTTAGAGAGGAACTGTCACATAATCATTAGCACATACAGAAATCATCAAATGCTGCTCCAGAGTTGTGGAAATGCAGTCATTTTATCCACCGTCTTCCTTATCAGCTCTGGCGCCTCCTCTAATTCCTTTACCACTACCACTCTCCCCTCTACATACACATACTACATAATGCAAATAAACATATTTTGAAGAAGGAAAAGTTATCTCTCTCCTAAGTTTTATGTTCTTAGATAGCAAATCCTTAGAGATACCACCTCTCTCTCCAACAAAAGTACAAAAGGCAGAGCTCTAAACATACTAACCATTTAATAATAGATACTCGGGTGAATTTCCATCATCGCCCTTACTGTAAAATTGAATTTGTCAAAAAGAACTATTTACCTTTTCATCAAAATATTACTCCCTAATGATCACCAAAACCCTGTGCATTCTACAAAGCAGCAACCCCAGAAACATTTCAACATTACCCAAGACTTACAAACTTTGTTGGCAGAACACAGATTACATTTCTGAAAAATGTCTTGCAAGTTCTCAACAACCAAATTGTCAGGACAAATCACTGCATATCCAACAACTGTGACCTTCTCCTTGGGACATTCAATTCTTTTACCTACCACAAGAGCCACTATAATATTTCCTGATGCATTATCAAGTGACCATTTAACTTTAGCAGATATCTTAATGTCCCTCTAAAAAATATAATAATTTTTGTTATATAAACCATACATATTTGTGTTTTTCAAAACTCATCCTAAAGTTTCACTAGACTACTGCTCATGTTTTCTCTTAGAGTCAAGCAAGTATTTTCATTTCCCTACAATGTAGCATCTTCTTTAATCTCTGTCACCAAATAAGGCCTGGTATCAAGACAAAGGAACAAATATAAACCTGTCTTTCATTTTCCCCAAGTTCTATTTTATTACATAATAATACATTCCCTTTTATAAGTAAGTTTTAAAGCAACATACTTGAAAGTCAAAGAAAACAAAATATTAAAAGTTATTTACAAGTTATTTATCTTTAGATTTGTATCAATTATTAGTAACTAATTTCAGGTTCCTGTTGAGATAGTCATCTATACCTAGCTAAGACAGAGTCTGGTATGACAATGTATTCAACACAGAAATATCAAGGAACTGTATACAGCAGGATTGAAGCACAGTAATAAAGAGGCATGTGAGGACACAGTTCCAATTTTCTAAGGGGATTTATGGCTTTAAGTTTCCCTTCTCATGTGAAAATAAACCTTTATAGCAAATACATGTTTATCTATCTAGAAACAAATTATTTAACAATTTTATTTTTATTTTTCATTGAATACTGACATTAAATACTTCACAGTTTAATATAAAAGACACTAGTATCACAAAATGACTACATATATAAAACAAAAGTTGTAAGATGCAGGTTATTTTCTATAATCAAATAGAGCTATCAAATACTACTCTCATTCAGCCTTCATTCCTTCTCCTGTTTCTAATTATCCTCTCACAGTTACAAAAAATAACAGAGAAGAAAAACCAAGAACTATAAATATGGCTATAACATAAGTGGTATTAGAAACATAAAACTATTTACAGAAACACCCTAAGAACACAATATAAATTCCCACATTCAAGTCTACTTGACAAAAAAGCCCAAAGAATATAAAATTTGGTTTTTGCTCTTTGTTTTTTTCTTGGGGATGAGAGGGGACTACTCTAGAGGAGAGAAATCAGGAGGAGATGCAATACCCTTTGTACATTACACAAAACTTACCCACTGGAAGGATCTAAGGCAATAGCTCTAGGTTGATCCAACTCTTGCCAAAATAAAACTTTTCGTAAAGATCCATCTAGATTAGAAACTTCAATCCGATTAGTTTCAGAATCTGTCCAGTACAATTTTTCTCCAAGCCAATCACATGCCAGCCCATCAGGAGACAATAATCCAGAAACGACAACATTCTGTACACTCTCAGTTTTGTTAAACTCTGTTCGTTTAATGGCTTCTTCGCTGACATCACTCCAGTATATCAAGCCATGACCAAACACAAAGTCCACCGCAGCTGCATCCTCCAAGCCCCCAACTACAATCGTAGCATTCTCTTTGCCATTTGTAGCATCAACCAATCGTAAGTCCCGTCTGTTTGCATAAAGCAACAAAGGGGCCGCTAGAATAAAAAAAGAAAAATATGTAAGTAAATGAAAGGAAATGTATTGGTTCTCATAAATGAGTTCAAATCAGAATCAGGAAATAAATACTATCAAAAAAAGAGTAAATAAATCCATAGAAGATGGCCTTAAAATCTTTTCACAAAGGAAATATTTGCAGCATTTTAAATACAGAAAGTTGCCAGAGAGAATATTAATTCTACCAGGACAGTCTTTTCTCGTTAAAATGGTCTGTCGGATGAAATTAAAAAGTCTGGCCATACCGAAAATGGGCAAGAATATGGAGTTACAGGAATGCTCACACTCTACTAGGACAATGTGAAATGGTACAGCCACCTTAGAAAACAGTTTGGCAGTTTCTTCTTAATTTTTTTTTTAAGATGTGGTCTTTTTTTTTAATATTTTATTTATATATTTTTAGAGAGAGGGGAAGGAAAGGAGAAAGAGAGGGAGGAAACCATCAATGTGAGAAACATCGTTTGCCTTTCATCTTAACCCAAACCCAATAACCCAAACTGGAATCAACCTAAATATCATTAACAAACTAATGGATGAATAAATTATGATATATTCATATAATAAAAAGTAAAACTATTTGTACAACTAATATGGGTGAATAACAAAATAATTATGTACAGTGAAAGAAATCAGACAAAATATGAATACACATTGCATGACTCCATCTATATAAAATTTTAGAAAATTCAAATTATTGTGATGAAAAGCAGATCAGTGGTTGTTTGGAAACAGGAGGGAAGGTGAAAAAGAATGGGAGACAAGGACTATAAAGGGATATAAGGAAACTTTTGCAGATGGCTACAATTATATTGACTATGATGATGGTTCCAGAGATGTATTCATATGTCAGAACTTATTAAATTTTACACTTTACACATGCAATTTATTTTATAGCAATTATATCTCAATAAAACTATTAAATAGTCTGGCAGAGATAGGTCTTAATATAACTATTTTATTCCCTTTTATATTATTATTTTTAAAAGATTTTATTTATTTTTAGAGAGAGGGAAAGGGAGGGAGAAGAGAGGGAGAGAAACATCAGTGTGTGCTTGCCTCTCACGCGCCTCTTACCAGGGACCTCCCACAACCCAGGCAGGTGCCCTGACTGGGAATCAAACTGGCAACCCTTTGTCCGCACTCAATCCACTGAGCTACACCAGCCGGGGCTATTCTCTTTTATTATTATTAGAATGACCTTTGAGTAAGACCTAATACCAAAACTAAATATAAATCTTATCCTAAATAATATTTAACTTTGAGAAAGCTGAAGCTACTATTATGACTGAAGTAGTACAAATTTTATGGTTTTGGTTCTTTTTTAAGTATCTGTTCCAGGTTTTAGACATTTACTCTCCTGGTATCAAAAGTAATTAAAGATCTAGAGCACCACCATACAACAGAACTTTCTGTGATGATGGAAAGGTTCTCTTCAGTATGCAATGCAGGAGCCACTGGCCACATGAGGCTATAGGGCACTTAAAATGTGGCTAGTGTGACTAAGATACTTAATTTTTTTTCATTTAATCTTAATTCATTAAAATTTAAATAGACAAGTGGTCATACAGCACAGGCTGAGGTGAAGAACACGAAGAGGCAGCGAAAATATGGCCAGTTATGATGCAATAATTAACATGATCTTTTCTCACAATTACTTGCTAAAGGTTTAAAATGTGTCATCCAAAGCCAAGACCAAGTATCATTTAAAAGCAACCACTCCCTCTTTTTTTAAGACATTTCAAAGGAAAAAGGACACATGGACAACAATCTGGTGATTGCTGAGGGGAGGCAGGTGTACGGGGACTAAATGGTAATGGAAAAAATCAAGATTAAAATTTTAAAAAGAAACTAATTTCAAAAACTTGAAGTGCCTAAGAAAAAGTGCTGTTTAAGCCAATCTACAGACTCTGTCTGCCAAATGGTGTTATGAAGTCCCAATATTTTCATCTGTAAGTACAACAAATATGAACTTCCCTTCTAAGCTTAAATCCAACTTTCTTAGTCAAAAACTAATGAGTAGATAGCTTTTTAAAAAGTGACAATGAGTCCTTGCTGCTTATTCTGCACATTTACTGCTGCTATTTGCAAATTAATAAATTTCCCTCACAGATTTCACTTTTAATTCATTTCAGGCTTTCATACATCACACTGATTTATCAGTCCCTACAGTGTCCACTGCATTATCTTACAATACGCATCATAACATGGGCCAATTATAATAATCAGAAAAAGGGTCCCTTCCAGTTAAGGGCGGAATGCTAAATGCTGCGCGGGGCTAAGAAATAACCCCAGTGCACTTACAACTTAAAATCCAAGAGCGGTAATATTTATTGGGCACCTTTCTTTATGGCACGATTCTTGGAAAACTGCATGCCAATTCAGCATTAAGTAATAGTTAAATGTCTTTTATGACTTTTAAGTCAAATGTGAACATTTCTACTGAACACCTTGTGTACAAAATGCAAAGAAACTGTCTGGTCATTTACGGTCTCACTCATTGTACAAGAGAAAAAGTGTTCCTGTTTAAGTTAGCACTACTGGTTATAATTAAGGATTTCTAAAAGACTCTATGTAAATCTACACATATTAAAAGGCAATCACAACCCTGACCGTACGGCTCAGTTGGTTGGGTGCCATCCAGAAAATCGAAAGGTCACCAGTTCGATTCCCCGGTGAGGGCACATGTGTTTTCTCTCCCCCTCTCTCTCTCCCTTCTCCACTCTCTAAAAACAAATAAATAAAATCTTTATTTTAAAAAAAAAGGGCAACCCTAACTACTATTCTGCAACTTGAATACTTTCCGCAATGATGTCACCAATATCTATTCATTAATATATTAACGAGATAGCTAAAGGGTATAATTTGATATACAATACTGTTTTGTAATAGTTTATTTTTTATTGTATTTTTCCATTGCCATTTATCCCCCTTATACCCACTTCCACCTCCACCCATCTCTTCCCTCCAGCAACACTGTTTTAATCTACTAAAGAAATACACGGGACCCACACACACTAGCCCCTAGTTATAGCACATAAGCACTCAGTATCTTCCATCCAAAGAAGTTAGTTCTGACTTCTTAACACCCAAACAACCCAAACAGCTCTTTAGTGCAACCTACATGGGTATGTAGGAATCTTTATTTTCCTTTATTAACTTCCTAACAAACTTTCACTAGTAGCCTTTCTAAATTTTTTTCTGCATTCCTAAAGACAATTTTTATGCTTTGAATTATTCATCCTCAGATCATCTCAACATAGTCAGTAAAGCAGGAAGCAAGGTAAATGTCTTACATCCTAAACATCTTTATTACATAAACTTCTCAAAAATCTTTCTGTATCCCACCAATCCCCCCTTAACTTGTCCTCAAGTCTCAAATGACAAGTTGTCTTTCCTCCTTTCTAAGGTTAATGCAATACTTTTGGTTCAGCCTCCCTACCTCTACTCTATCAATTGTTTTCTGTCTTGTATCTTTGATGGCTCCTGTCAGGTACCTGCTATCAAAAAACTTTGTTTTGCCCTGGCTGGTGTGGCTCAGTGGATTGAGTACCAGCCTGCAAACCAAAGGGTCCCCTGTTGATTCCCAGTCAGGGCACATGCCTGGGTTGAGGACCAGGTCCCCAGAGGGAGCTGCGTGAAAGGCAACCACACATTGATGTTTCTCTCCCTTTCTTTCTCCCTCCCTGCCTAAAAAGTAAATAAAATCTTTAAAAACAAAAACAACTTTGTTTTGATAACCCTAACCTTGCTATCACTAGTAGCACAGTTTTATTTCTCCTAACCACAAAAATTACCTATTGGTATACAGTTCATACCACCATCCATTAGCTATTAACCTTAGTCTAACTTCCTATCCATCACTCAACTATCTCTGCTTTCTCCAAGTCTTCATAACCAAATCCAGTGGCCAAACCCAATTTCTGACCTTTCTGCAGCATTCAATATGGGTATGTTGTATCCTTACTTATGTAGCGTATACTACCATTCTTGTTTTACTGGTCATGCTTTGTCTGCCTTTTAGTTTCAAATCTTCCACTTCCCAAATATAAATACCCCCAAGATTCCCTGTTGTTACCCAAATAAGAGAATATAGAAAATTATTAAAATTTACCAAATCAACAAGCAACTCTATTCAGGTAATTTTCAAATTATCATCTCCTGTCTAACCTTCAGTTCTGTACCTGTAACTCCTTATTGGCCATCTCTTCCTGACATTAATTTAAAATTCACTACCTTCACCCCATACCTTCCCCCCAAAAAATCCCTCAAGGGTCAATGATACCACACTTTTCCTAATCTCATTATCATTAGTCTGCCTTAGAGCAGTCTTTGTCTGCTAATTACTGTCATGTTGATTCTTCTTTAACAGGTCCTTAAATCTGCCTCTTCTTTCCATTTTTAGAACCACTATCCTACTGTAGACCTTCATGACCTTATACCTAATTTACCCTAAAGTGATCTCAACATACTTCCTTCCCTTTTCTACTTCCAGTACTTCAACTCTATCCAACTCAAAAAGCTTTCTGATGTTCTTTGCCTAAAATAAAAAGCCTCCACCAATACCTTCCGTGACTGTACCCATGACTCTACCTTACCTATTCCAGTCTCTGCATCATACAAACTGGTTCTGAACACATCCTATTCTACTGCCACAGTGTATTCATTTTCCTGCCCACTCCATACTTTTCTCTCATTATTCTAGCAAGCAAGTCCTTCAAGGCCAGGATCAAATCTTACCTATTCCATGAATCTTTCCAATTGCCTAAGCTTTCCTCCTTTGAGCCCTTAGGTTCTTTACCACGTTTCTGATATTAGCATTTTTAAAAGTGTATTTCCCAAGGATCTACACCCTTGGGAATGAACAGAAGCTACCTCTTATAACTAATTTTATCTCCAATCTCTCAAGCAGTTCACTGAAAAGTAATACAGTGAACACTAACTAATATTAAAATGAAATTTCCCAGAACCTGGTCTAAAATTA